TGTCAAACAATCAAAATAATCTGTAGTAAAATGGGGGGAAATAAATGGACATAAAAGCAAGTTTGTAAACTTCTGGCCTATAGTATATGAGCTGAAACAGAATGGAGTGCTGGAACTACTGTAGAAATTATAAGGAACTCCAGCTAAACTAAACATGTTTTGTTTATTTCATCAGTGGACATACAGAAAGTCAGTATTTTCTGTTGATACCGTTTCTATAACTAGCCATTGTGCTGGAGTATTATTATTCCCCTTTCTAGTCCTTTTCTCTGGACAATGAAGGTCTTGGCAGCTTGTCCATTAGAGCCTGATGCATGCTCCCAGAAGTTAACATACTTCATGACTCTGTCAATCCAACAGGCTCTAGACTTTCAATAGTCAATTATTATGACTTTCTTATCCTTTTACTGATAGCAGTACATCCCCTCTGCTTTCAGGGTTGTAGCCTCCTGGAGACTGAGAGGCTGTTTCTTCTGTAGGGTACTGAAAGGCATTTCTGTATTCCATTGCTGCTGAATATCTCCTATACCTCTTGTTTCTCATTTCTCTCTCATCCATGAGCTTATTTTTTTCTCGTGCATAATTGCTTATACTGTCACCTCTTGTTGTAACACTTCAGTTTTTAGGTTAAAAAAAATTCATTATCTGATAAGAGCAGAGGAGATAACTCCCCCAATACTCTTTCTTCTTCAAGTATCTCTACACATTTGCAGTGCAGATATCATGAAATCACAGAATTGGAAGGAATCTTAGAAATCATCTAACTTACTAATACATTTCTGACAGATGGTCATCCAACAAAAGAAAACTCACTACATCAGGTGGCAGCCTCTTCCACTGGCTGACAGTTTATACAGTCGGGATGCTTATCTTGATTTCTAGGCTGAATCTGCTTTCTTGTAGTTTTAGCACATTGGTCCTGGTTCTGCCCTTTGGAGCAGTAGAGAATAAGTCCACTTCTTTTTCTGTGTGGTAACCTTTCATATATATAAAGACTACTATCATATCTCTCCTTAGTCATCTTTTCTTTAGACTAAACACGCCCAGATCCTTTAACCATTTCTCATAGGAGTTAATTTTCAGACACCCTCCCCCTCCCCCATCTTAATAGTCCTCTGAACTCATTCCAATTTGTCATTGTCCGTTTTGAACTGTAATGCTCAGAAGTGGGCAAAAAACTCCAAATGGGGATGGACAAACATAGAAAGGAAAAATTACTTGTAGTGATCTGGACTCTCTGCTTCTGTTAATGCACCCCAAGATAGCATTTGCCTTTGTAGCAGCTGCATCGTACTACTGGCTCACATTTCATTTTTGTTCAGCAAGGACACCCAGATCCCTTTTATGTGTGCTATTGGCAAGTCTGTTCCCCCCAATCCTATATTTTACATTATATTTTTCTTACTGAGATGCAGAATTTTACATTTCTCCCTACTGAATTCCATCTGAATAGTTCTGCCCACTGCTCGTGCCTATTTAGATCCTTTTGCATCTTCTCTGTTACATCTAAAGTGGTAGCCATCCCTCCAAGGTTTGTGTCTTCTGCAAACTAAATTTCCCTCATCCAACTTACTGATAAAAATGTTGAGCAGTTGACTCCATGGAAGCTGACTGGCTGCCTGATATACCTTTTACATCTCTGCAGCACCTTCTGCTTACTCACAAGGAAATAATCACTTGGACAATCAGCAACTCTCAGAATACATTATTTGCATGAGATGGCATTTGGGCTGTTCAGATACATATGTCAAACAATCAAAATAATCTGTAGTAAAATGGGGGGAAATAGTGGTAGTAATAGCAGCAGCAGCAGTAATTTTTATTTAGCATGGGCTTATATCTAAGTGTAGTTTAAACAAAAGTAATCTTTTTTAACATCCCTGAAGCTACTGAAGATGAGCTTTTCCAAAGAGCATTTGGTTGAATACTTCATCATTGCCATTTTACACTATTTCACTTTGAATTATTTATATTGATTAGTTGCTATTATTTCATTTGATTTTTATTACTTGTTTTATTTATTTCTCAATATAACTTTTATATTTTATCCCTGTATTACTGTAATTTTGAGTAGTTATTCATTGTTTTAGTTTACTTACATTTACCGTGGATATTTTAACAGTTGTAGTTTTTCTTGACTGTTTTGTAAAGTACCAAGAGTTGGTATTGATTTTGTGGTATAATAAATAATGTAATATCAGCAATAGAGCAGTATTATCAATATAAACATTCCCTAATATCAGCACAACCACTTGAGTTACAGAATTCTTTCTAAACCATGCTTACAATAAATGAAACTCTTTTTCCCCCCTCAGATTCTCTGTTGCATACAGCAGAAACTCCTCATGGATTTTTTTCTGTGAAGAAGATACAAGAATACATATTGTAAAGCTACTGAACACACTTAGAAGATATGACAAATCTAAGGTGATGTTTTTAAAAAATGATTCCTTAATGTTTGACTTTGAAATATAAGTACTACAAACTGTGAAAAAGAATAGAAATCTGAATTAATTTGCATTTCAATAAAGCTATGAACATAATAGATGAGAAAGAACAGTTCTGCTTCTTATTCAACATGCATAATGCCTAAAACGTAGACCACAGTGTAATTAATGATAATATATTACATATCAAGACAATTGCATTGTGTTGCAATTACAGTTTTATGTCAACATTGTAAGAGTTAAATCTCAAATATCAAGATCTACTCAGATATGAAAGATCAAAACTATTCCTGCATAGAAAGCTATTTTTTTTAAAGAAAAGTATTTACAAGGAGCTGACATACAGAAAATTATAAGTACAGAAAATTATAAGTTATTTTAAATCCATTACTAGTAAAAATTAGTACAATACATTCTGAAAAAATAATTGCCTTACTATCTATATCTGTAAAGGTATCAACAACTTGTTGGTAAGAATAATTTTGTATGTGCTGGCTCTTGCCTCACCTTCTATATTTCACTGTTCATTTACCATTAACAAGAAACGGAGATGTTGGGAGTCTTGCATTCACATATGAAAGTATTATTTCTGAGTGGATTCTTATCTGTGGCTAAAATTACATTTGGTCATGGAAATAGTCTTACATAAATATAAGTTAACAACTATTAATTAGCAGCCTAGTTCACACTTATTCCTATAGTGTTGTTTAGTTTGCAGATGGCTGAAGGGTAAGAATGTGCATAACATAGAAAATATATTTCATTTAGAACTTAGAACAAATGAGCCCCAAACCCAATACAAGTGGAAGAAACGCACAATAGAATTTGGGTCTGTTACTCCAGGCTGAAATTCTCTGTCCTGCTAAAGAACGATGTTGAATGAAATTAGGTGGGTGTTGTTTTGTTGTTGTTGGTTTTTTTGATAATGTGGTAAGCATTCAGAGGGCTTATTTAAAGAAATTGAAAAGTAGTCTCTCTCGAGAAATTCAACAATGGGATTGAGGAATGTCTTTTAATAGATGTGGGGAGGTTTGTTCCTTTTTTCCCCCTATTCTATAGTAGGCATTTTAGGTGTGGGGTTTTTTTGGGTGGCGGGGTTTGCTTTCTGTAGATTAGATGGCAGTTAGCATATACTGTTTCTTCACCTGTAGTGAGGACCACGTGTAGTGGTCTGGTGAGTCAGACCACTTGTACAGTGGTCTGACTCACATATAATGCTAAGCTATAATGTCCTTTGTTTTGAGCTTTGAGTGATGTGAGAACTATCCATTTTGCACAAACAAGTCAGTATGGCTTGTCCAACAAATCATACTTTTTTATTAAAAAAATCTGATTTTATATTACGTATGGATACATCAAGTAAACAAAAGACTTATTTGTTATCTCTTGTTTCTTGGTCAAAAGTTAGTTTTGCCTGCCAGCCAATTTTGCCAGTGCAAAATCTAGACTTTATTTTTGATGAAATGCCACCACTATTAGAACCCCCAATCAACATAACTAATGGTGAAGGATGCAGTGAACTGTGGTTCCTCCATATCTGGAATGTCACAAGTTTCCAAACCTGCACAACTGGTTTATGTGTTTAAGTTTGATAGATGAAGCATTAGTATGATTTATTATACACTTAGGGTTATCTTTCACTCTCTGTGTGTTCATGTATTCATATAAGTATATAGAGAAAAATATAGTCTTATAAGGTTCTGTGGACCACTTAGTAGATATTCAGGACCTCAGTAAAGCTAAATTTGGATGCTAGCACATTCAATAATACTGCTCTTCTCTCACAGGAATTTTTTTTAGGCAAAGCATTACATGATGATGAATCTACAATTATTCACCATTATGCCTTTGCAGAAAACCCTACAGTTTTTAAATTTCCAGATTTTGCTGCTGGCTGGGCACTTAGTATTCCACTTGTAAAAAAGTAAGATTGCATGCTGTAATTTATTATAAATTGTTTGAATAGTTGGTGTTTTTAAAATGCTGTGAAGAAAATGATGCTGTTAAACATTAAAAATCTTTCCCTCTTTGTATGTATATAAAATGAGCTGTCAATCTCTAATCACACATCAGCTTTTATCCCATTTTAAATGGTTAAAATCCAGTTTCATGTACTGTATAAGCTACTATTCCACGAGTATATGTAAAATATATAAAGTATATTAACCAAAAAAGTAAATCTTTATAATGGGTATGCAAAAATATATCTTTTGGAATATGCTAAAGAACTTCTGAAAAAAAATACTGCTCTTCCCTGCCTCCTTGGGTAGTTGACTTGGAAAACTTTCCATCTGAAGATGCTGAGTAATTGTCTTTTTCTCAGGCACTTCAGTGGCATCCTGGGGGAGTCTCATTCCAAAAAGTAGTGGGTTACATTAGGACAAAAACTGAACCTGATTTCATTTCATTCCCATTTATTTAACATCAAATATGGCTAATATGCTAACTCTTCAGTTATATATGTAATAATTGTTTCCTTCTATTAGTTAGAAAGTACAGTTTGACAGCAACTTTTGGAGGGCTCTGTAGGCAACACCCAAAGTCTGTATAAAGCCTTGGGGCTTAGGTTGTGTACTTTTGCAGTATATGGACCTTAAGATAAAAGGCTATTCCCAAGGAATATATCTACAACATCAATTCTTCTGCCATGTTTCCATGGTGTTGCCTTCAACTCATCCCCAGCCCTTGACTCAGGCAGACCTAAGTCAACTTTAGGTATTAAGGTTGAAAGTAGTGTTAAAAGTAGTGTTTTCCTTCTTAAGCTGGCAACATCCAATGATAGCCTCAAGGTGTGTATAAAATCTATTACACGGTATCATCCATGACAATGGAGGCAAGGTCAGATGACCAGCAGCAGGTAAGATCAGAGAGATGCTGGTTGGCTATTTCAGGCTGATTGAGGTACGCCTCTTCCTCTTTGGTCCCCAGTCGACTGCTACCATTTTGCTGTTGTCTCCTCAGGGAGCTGGACACAACATTACTATGCCAGTGGTCCTTTGGATTTGGGCAAGAATGGTATTTGTATTTTTTAACATTTAATCCTTTTTTTGTTTTGTTTTAGATTTTTTTATCCTGTCTTTATCATTTTTATAAATAACTCAAGGTGGCGAACATACCTAATACTCCTTCCTTCTCCTATTTTCCCCACAACAATAACCCTGTGAGGTGAGTTGCGCTGAGAGAAAGTGATTGGCCCAAAGTCATCCAGCCAGCTTTCATGCCTAAGGCAGGACAAGAACTCACAGTCTCCTGCTTTCTAGCCTGGTGCCTTAACCACTAGACCAAACTGGCTGTCCTTTAACCCTTTTCCTGATCTAGCTGCATATAAATGCCACAGGCATGCATCTACCTATATAACACAATATGATACGTGGAGGTCCACCATTTTACATCTTTTGCAAAATTATGGAAGTAATCAGCAGCTAGAAAATTTAAACAATGGTCTAGTAAAATTGTGAAATAGGTACTACACTGCTTGGGCAGCAGAGCTATAAGTTCTGCTTATGTGGGCTGTGGCCTAATTTAGCACAAAGCTGAAAGAGCATAGAAGTGGAGTGATAGGGCCAATACCCTTCTCCATTGTCTCCTAAAAAGAAAACAGGAAAATGGAGGTTAGCATTTGTTGCTTAAATAAAGAAATGAAGGAAAGAGCAATGCTAAATAAAAATGCTGCCTGTGAATCAGCAATCTTCATGACTGACCCACTGTTTGTTTTTAACTTCAGTTAACTTGGGTTACAATAAAATGGAATGCAAGAGGAAAGACACAGGATGGAACCCAGAGATGATGGGTAGGATCATACAGTCAGACCTTCCTCTTCCCTGCCACAGTATCGTGGTTGGGAAGATGTCTTTCCTATTGGCTGCTGGTGTGCTGAAGGGAAAGGGCAGCAAAACTGGAACAATCAACTAATTACTTTGGTTACTGTACACTGCCCATGCATAATGAGGAGAAAACTATTTGGCATGATTCAGAACAGATTCAATAGAAGCAAGATAAGGATAGGCAGTGGGAACAGTACATTTCATGCCAGTATAGTTTTATGTAAATCAATGGAGAACAGCTACATTTTAACTCAGCAATGGAGAATGGTCCAAACAGAATTAGAGACTGATGTTATCAGTATATTGACAGGATCTCAGTTTAAATTCCTTGATCTTATCCAGTGCTTTCACGTAAATGTTGAAAAGACTGGCAGATAAAATGGACCTTATTGGACTTTACAGCACAGTAGCACAGGTTGAACTGAAACCTGAAGATAAATTCAGAATTTCTATAGCATTGTTCCTCTGTTACCCAGCTAGAAAACCAGCCTAGCAAGATATGATGCTACAGTCTCTCTCCAATAGAGGTATTCTGTCAGGGCAACCAGAGGCATCTCCATATCAAATCCAGGCTTGTAGCTGGATTGAGAACCTGCTTACACCAGGGCTGTTTCGGTACAAAATCCAGGATGGAAGATGATCTAGATAATCTGCTACATGATAAAATGCAAAGCATTGGAGACAAACAATTAAACCAAATGCTCTTTGGTTAGAAATGCTCATAGATAAATAAAACATGTTGAGTAGAATTTGTTTGTTTGTTTGTTTGTCAACTTTATATAGCTGCCCATCTCACAAGCAAGTGACTCTGGGCAGCGTACAACAAGGCTAAAAAACAATATATACAAAACAATTAGTGGTAGTAGTAGTATTAAAAAACTTTAAAACGATAAAAAAGCACAAAGCTAAAGGGGAATAAATATTGGGTGAAGAATGCATATCAGAAATTAATAACCTTAAAGTGATGTATCTATAATTTTATATAAAATATGAATTCTATAAAATGAAATACATAAATATATTTTCTTATGACATTGCATGTTATGAATTTTGGTTAACATACTACTACATTAAGGTATTAGATATATTAAAGTTTTGGTACTATGTTTCATCATATGGAGAACCTGCTGCTATAATTTTACTCTACATAGCATATGAGAAGCTATTGTATAAGGGTTTTCATTAGACCCATTATATTCACATTGTAATGAATAATAGATACTATGTTAATCTTGCTGGGGTAGGGTGAGGTTAGAGCCTGAAGATGGCGGTGATGGCCATATCAGAAGAGATTGTTTGTAGCACCAGGTTTTAGCTTTTTGCTTTTACTGCTTTTTGTTTTTATTGTTTTTATGATGGTTTGGTTCTGTACCATTGCTGAGGTGCCCAGAGTTGTGTCTGTTAAGATGGGCAGCCATATAAGTCTTTTAAATAAATAAATAATATTAACTTGTGTTATAGATAATGTGGTAGAATGTCTAACAGGCTGGGAAAGAAGAGGAGGAAAAAGGACTGTTGCCAAAGAGACATGTCAGGCCAACAGTGGGGGGAGCATGAGAAAGACATTCAGAGCAACCCTGCCTTAATTATGTTAGGTATAAGTTGAGCAGGAGAATTGCTTTGACAGGCTTTCAAGATTCAGTTGCATCACACTACTAGCGATAACAATCTTTCCAGAAGTCCAAGCCATTCTTGTTTCCCAAGTTTGCCAGCCTCGTAGGCTTGACAGATTAAATATTTGCAGTAAAATTCATAAAACTGGGCTTTTAAATAAAGGGGTGTTTCACATTCTCCAACTCTGGTGCTTTCACAATTGTGATTATTTGAGAAGAATGTTCTCATCTGTTTTTCTGGATAACCTGTTTACAGATTATCCTTCAATTAAGTTGGGATTGCAGCTCTCAAAATTCCCAGCTGGCATGATGAAATGGGAATTCTAGGAGTTAGAGTCCAAACTTACTTACACCAAAAGTTCTCACCTGAGTTTTTGAAGAGTCACCACCCTACCTAAAAAGGGAATATTATTAGCAACTAAGCAGTAGTTAAAATCTCTTAGGCCCTGATTTTCTTAAGGCTTAAAGACATAAACACATTTTTCAAGTTAGTTGATGTCACTGCCTTTCAGAAAGACAAACTATCTCCTGTATTCATATCGCCTGCTCTTATAGCTATTTTTTAATGGCAAGAATCAAGAACTCAGTTGGTCAGCTCTGTGTGTGTGTGTGCCTTCAAGTCAGTGATGACTCTTGATGACTGCCTGGACTAGCCCCTGCAGGTTTTTTGGCAAGATTTCAGAAGCGGTTTTCCATTACCTCCTTGCTAGAGGGGTAATGGAAAACCACTAGAGAGACTGACGGGCCCAAGGTCATCTAGCTGGCTTTGTCCCTAAGGTGGGACTAGAACTCACGATCTCCTGGTTTCTAGCCTGATGCCTTAACCACTACACTAAACTGCCTCTCTTGGTCAGCTGTACCACCGTATATTAAACCTGAAAATGGTTGTATCCAGCTTGACTAAACAAAGCTCCACTGGACGTGTATCAGTAATGGTATCAAGTTTAAAAACATATGAATGACTTTATCTTCAAAATGCCTTGCAAACTGCAGGCCTCCTGTTGCCACCTATGTCTGGTTTTGATCTCCAAGGATGGTTCTTCTTGGTAGTTACTTCAGCTGCAATGAGAGCAAAGAAATTAGAGCTCTCCATCAGTATTGGGATAGAGTAGGCATGATACTAGGAGAGTTGCATCATCTGTATTCTAATCATTGTCTTCTCCGTTTCATGACCCACAGGTTTTTTGTTTTTGTTTTACCATGGCCAGATGGTATACAATAGTTATTGATATTGCATCAATTTTAAGTTTGGAAATTATACACTGTATGTCATCATCTAGGATGGAGTTACAGAATGTTGTGTTACTATGTAATGGGTAACTTCATGTAAAAAGTTCAATATTTTTCCACATATCAATATTATACTTTTCTAATCTTTATTGCATAGGCTTGCAAGGAGACTGAAGAATGAACCTTTAAAATCAGATTTTACAATAGATTTAAAACATGAGGTAAGTTCTTTCTGATTCACTCTAAAGCATGATTTACTTCATATATTCAGGTTCCAATCAATAGAAAGAAGTTGTATTATATGTTTGTTCATTATGTACGCTAATAAAACTCAGATAACTTATACTATCAGTAATCTCATACCCAGTAGCGATCTTACACAGCCAAAAATGGCATTGTAGGAGAATAGTTAAAAGTTTTTAAACCAGAGACCAGCACATCTTCACTGAAGTATACATTGGTTTATCGATCAGTACCAGAGGTAAAAACAAGCCTAAAAGGGGTGAGGTTTACAGGCCCTCTTTATAGAATTTTGTAGTAAAAGTACATTAGCTAAGAATAAATGCAGGTAGCAGGTAAAGGGATTATGAATACTGTGTATTCATATGTTTTGTCCTCTACAGGATGCCATTCAGTTACTGTTGTTGGCATACAGGTAGTCCTCAACTTACAACCACAATTGAGACAGGAACTTCCATTGCTAAGCGATGCGGTCGTTAAGTAAGTCACACCTGATTTTACGACCTTTTTTGCCATAGTCGTTAAGCAAATCACCATGGTCGTTCAACAAATCACGCAGTTGTTAAGCAAATCCTGCTTCCTCCATTGACTTTGCTTGTTGGAAGCCCCTTGGAAAGGTTGCAAATGGCAGTCACATGGCCACAGGAAGCTGAACTGTCATAAATACATGCCAGTTGCCAAGCGCCCAAATTTTGATCATGTGACCGCCAGGACACTGCAACGGTCTTAAATGCGAGGACCAGTCGTAAGTCACTTTTTTGAGCACCACTGTAACTTTAAACGGTTGTTAAACAAATGGTCATAAGTCATGGACTATCTGTACTGCTTTATTCATGAGTTTTTTAAGCCATGTCATACCTTTTGCAAGAAGACAAAGAATTGAATGACTGTAGTTGACAACTCACTGCCGCAAGTGAGAAACTAACAAGATCCATGAACTCATGAAGTGCGCTGTCTGCCAGGAACACAGAATATTGATGGGACAGAACAACTTCCAAGACAAGTATCACTTCCTGCTTATCCATGTGGGGACAAATGATATTGCCAAGAGCAGCTAAAATATCTAACTTGGAAGAAAGATCAAGAACCAGGAACCTAAGGTGGTATTCTTGCCCATCCTTCAAGTTCATGCAAAAGGGCTGGGAAAAAAAAGAATACTGCTAATGAACAATTTCTGAAATGTTTTAAATAGAGGAAATATAGTTTCCAGGACTAGGACTATACAGAAATCTGGATTTGAAGGGCAGAGTGTGATTTGGTGTGCAAATGGATATACATGTTGCTCCTATTAAAAATACCTTAAACAGTTGCATCTTTTTCCAGGACTGAATGGCTGCCCATGCATGCAATAAATCACATTTTGCCCTTTAAATCTGGCATAGGATAATAAAAGTCTGATATAAGTGCATTTGCTCAAACCATGATTCAACAAGAAGGCTTTAGATGGAATCCTATGGGAGACGGAGATGAAAACTTCAAAATAAAGATCTCTGATAAGAGTTTGTGCACTGCTGAAGGAGATGGAGCATTAATGTAATGGGCTGTATTAAATAACTCAATCAAAAAATCAGGGGGAAAAAAGCTTATAAAGTTCATGATCTTCATTGTCTATCATTTTCAGAATACGGGAAATACAAAAGATGGGTTTGAAATGTTAGTACAGGAAGACATACTTGATTCAGTAGATATAAGAAAGAACCAGTGGGATGACTCTGAGGATTACAGTACAAGAGCTGAAGGATATAATTTGTTCAAAAGGAATAGAAGCAAAAAAAGGGAGGAGGAGATGAACTAAATATTAAAAGTATTCACACCTGCTCAGAAATTCAAAGGAATGAAGCTGTCAAGAATATCTAATTAAAATAAGTAGAAGAATGTATAAAAATTACATTGTTCATGTCTACCATCACCTGCCTAAGCAAGGAGACAATATGGATTAAGCTTTCAACAAGCAAACTATAGATCTTTCAAAGAAGTTTCAAGTAGTGATGCCAAGAAAATTTAATTACTGACATATAATTGTGAGGCAAACTCTGCCAAGCATAGTTATTTCAGGAAATTCTCACCTTGTCTTTCTACTTTCTCCTTCCAAGGGTAGTGGAAGACACAAAGTATAGTCTTCTTGACTTGATATGAACCAATAAGGAAGATATAATTGATGAAATGGAAGTAGCAGGAATACTGGGAGAAAGTGAAGACATAAGGCTAAAATTTTTCATTTTAATAGAATTAAAGGCTGAGCATTAACTGAAGACTTAGGTTTAGGAGCAAGAAAGTGGATTTAAACAAATTCAAAGCAATGATAAGTAGGATACCATGGCAGAAGAAATTAATAGGGAAGGGACCCCATGATCATGCAGTTGCGAATAGTTTCAGTGAGGGGAAAATACAAAACATCGGAAGACATGTCGCTGCACAAAATCCTCAGTGAAGATCTGAGGGGGAGAAAGGATTTCTGTAGTGCAGCAGATCATCAAAAGAATTGTAGAAATGGTTCCAGAAAGAGCTGTAGACAAATCTGCTAAGAACAAGAAGAAGGGTTCTTCAGATATGTTTGGAATAAATGGAAAAAAGTTAGCGTACCCAAATGCTAACAGATGACCAAAAAAAGTTTCAACTATTTACTTGTTACTTTGTAAGTCTTCTCTGAGGAGAGATGATGTGTTGAAGCAGTTGTGAAGAGGAGAATAAAGATGTGGGATTTATTATTTGGGACTGATGAAACATGGATGCAGACTATCTGTTTCCTTTAAGTGAATTTAAATCTCCAGGGCCAGATTAATTGATCTGCAGATTATCTGGCTGAACTTTTATCTATGAGAAAATGTGAAGGAGAGATGAAGTTCCAGATGATTGAAGAGGACAAATGTTATTCCTGTCTTAGGGAATCAGGAGAAATCAGGATCCAGGGAACTACAAATACTCAATCTGACAGTGATACTTGGGAAGATTCCAGAGCAGATTGTGAAGGGATTCATTTTAAGTATCTTGAAAAAAATATGGTAATTACCAGAACAGGATTTGTCAGAAACAATTCTTGTCTAACTAACTTTACTTTTTTGATTTGGTAACTTCCTTAGCAGATTGCTGGGAATACTGTAGAAGTAGCATACCTTAATTTCAGCAAAACATTTGACAGAGTATCCTGTGAAATTCCGAATAACAAGCCAGTTAAGTGTTTGCAGGATACCATAACAATTTACTAAGGAGATACCTGGGTCAAAAATTGTACTCAAAGAATAATGATTTGCTACAAAAATGGTAAATACGATTTTAGACTGATTCAATCTGTATAATTTTCTAATCAAAGAAAACAATAGTTTAACTTTATTCTGTGTTAGCCAGACCCCCACCCCCTGCTCAGTTATATACAGTACATCATAGTTTAAGAAGATTCAGACAAACTTGAATAGGTTCAGGGAAGGGCAGTGAGGATGATCATACATCCTATGTAGAGCGATTGAAGGAATTGGACATGTTCAGCCTTTTTATTAAAAGACAGGAAGATGGTATAGAATTTTGTTGTTGTTCAGTTGTTAAGTCGTGTCCGACTCTTCGTGACCCCATGAACCATATTGCGCCAGGCCTTCCTGTCCTTCACTGCCTCCCTGAGTTTGCTCAGTTTCA